GTGTGTGTGTGTGTGTGTGTGTGTGTGTGTGTGTGTGTGTGTGTGTGTGTGTGTGGGTGGGTGGGTGGGTGGGTGGGTGGGTGGGTGGGTGTGTGGGTGTATGTCTGTGCGCCTCTGTGTCTGTGTGTGCCTCTGTGTGTTTGCACATGTGCGTGTTTGCCACGTCATCAACAGTCCCGTACCTGCACAACATCTCATTTGCCCCCCCCCCCAAATTGCCGTCGTCGTCATGATCATGACCACCAGGAGTGTCGACGCGTCGCTGCTGCAGACGGCTCCACTCGCACACTCATCGCTGAGCACCACAACGCCGCCCCACGCACACACCGCCAGCACTGATGGGAAGAAGAAGCGCGGTGGGAAGGGGAAAGGTGGCAAGGGAGGCGGTCAAGGTAAAGGTGCGTTGAAGTCAACAGCGCAGACCGCAAAGACGCCACCACACAAGGGCGGTGGTACCAACACGTCATCACCATCATCATCGTCATCAACATCATCGTCGCCATCATCATCGCGCAGAAAGGGGAAGGTCGATGCAAAGCACGTGCGGTTGTGGGAGGAAGCGTTTGGGTTGACCCTTCACGAAGGGATGAACGTCACCAACACCATTCTCAGCGAGTGCGGTGGTGGACACACGCCAGCGGTTGCGGATGCAAGGCACGGCAGCAACACCACCCAGGGCACACGGTGAGTTTGGCGTGGTTGTGGTGGGTTTGTGGGTGCGTGTACTTATGTGTGTGTGTGTGTGTGTGTGTGTGTGTGTGTGTGTGTGTGTGTGTGTGTGTGTGGGTGGGTGGGTTTGTGGGTGTGTGTGCGTGTGGTGTGTGTGGGTGTGGGTGTGGGTGTGGGTGTGGGTGTGGGTGAGTGTGTACTTATGTGTGTGTGTGTGGGTCTGGGTGTGTGTGCGTGTCTGGGTGTGCGTCTTGCTCTGCGCTGATGCTTCCTCTTCCTTGTGCCCGCGCTGCCATCACCATTTCATCCCCTCATCACCATCACCATCATCCCCAATCTTGACAGGTCCCTTGCGGTGTATGTGTCGGCCGTTGCGAGCGGAAGTGTGGGCGAGTCTCTCGGGGTGACCGTTGGTGATCGTGTTGATGTCATCGAACCGGAAGAACTGTCCGAATCGCTGGCCACGTGCGACGATGTTGTCAGCAGCCCCACCATTGCGGATATGACACGCGTCCTGCTGACACACAAGAGCGTTCGCATCGCCTTCAAGGCAGACATTGTCGCGCTCACCATCAACCAGGTGTGTGTGTGTGTGTGTGTGTGTGTGTGTGTACATGTGCATGTGTGTGCGTGTGTGTATGTGTGTGTGCATGTGCATTTGTGTGTGTGCATGTGTGTATTGGGTGAAGTGCTCGCCTGCTCATCTCTTGACCTCCACCTGCCGACCCCGGCTCCAATTACCCCTCACCATCACCGTCATCCACCACCACCACCACCTTCGCTGCTGGTCCTGCTGCCATTGAAAGGATGCCCCGCTGTTGGAAGGACTGCAAACCATCGTGATGAAGCTCGCCATGGCTGGCAAGCACAGCGCACGGCACCACCACCACCACCACCAACACCAACGCCAACGCCAACAGCATGGGCGTCGTGGTGTCGCTGGTGCTGACGACGACAAGATGCGGCGCAAGTCCAAACCGGTCACGACACAAGCGAAGTACGTGTGTGTGTGTGCGTGTGTGTGTGTATGTGCGTGTGTGTGTGCGTGTGTGTGTGTGTGTGTGTGTGTGTGTGTGTGTGTGTGTGTGTGTGTTAGTTTTGTTTGTTTTGTGTGTGTGTGTGAGT